GGTTGTTGGCGTCAACGCGAGTGGACAGGACGCGTCGTAGCAATCCGGAGCCGGCGGCGGTGCCTACGGACGCGCAATCAGATACAGACGCGGCTTGCCGCGACTGGCCACCGAAGCCGCCGGGACCCCGTCCCAGCATCGGCGACGGTATGAAGTCTGTGTCCGATATCTGGCTGCCGGTGCCGCCGCCGCCGGTGTACGTCCCGCCGCCGCCGCCGCGGCCACCGCCACCGTCTTCACCGCCGCCGCCGCCGCCGCCGCGCTTGCTGCGGCCTAGGGTATCGTCGACATCTTCCTCGTCCTCCTCCTCCACCTGCACCCGAAAGCCATACGCCGCCAAAGCGCACGTCACCTCACACACATACATACATACATACACATACACATATACATACACGCACACCATACCATACCATAACACACGCACCAGGCCCATTCCCCCCCCCGCAGTAACCCACCACGTCAGCGGCTAGCGGCGACCACTCCGGCAGCTGCTGATCCTCCTCCAGGCCCATGAACACGCAGCCGTTGCCGTGACCCGCCACCGCCGCCGCCGCCGCCAGCGTTGAGGGCACACGACCCTTCCCGCCGCCGCTGTACTCCATTTCGGTGGACGCAGATGCCGGCTGCCCGGAACGAAGGTAGCGGTGGCGCCGCCGCCGGCGGTGGAGGAGAAACGTGCCGACCGTTGCCGCTAGCAGTACGACGGGTACGACAACGCCGATGATGATCTGGAGGATTGAGGGGGGTTGGCGTAGGTTGAGGAGGAAAGAAAAGAGCGGAAGCAAGGGCGAGGAGAGTTGCGAGGTGTGAAGGGGAGAGAGAGGTGAGGCAAGGGCATGCCGCGTGTTGTACATTTATCGTACAACTGAAATCGGACATGCGAATGCGCGCGTGTGTGTGAGTGTATATATACACACATGATAGATACACACACACACACACACAACGCAACACAACACACGCGCATTCGCATGTTCGATCTTTCAGTGTTGTATTTCAGTGTTTCAGCCCTCCTTTCCTCTCCCCTCTCCCCCCCTCTCGC